GGCCTCTCCAACCTCTCCCAAAATGTTTATATATAGAGATCCCTCCAATTACTCAAAATTATCAAATTAATAACACACAAAAAAAAAGCTCGACTTTGTTCTTCGATTCCATAAACAAAATTTCTTGAGGAATTCTCAAGAGAATAAAAATAAAATAATAATAACAAAATCCTCTTTAGTAGTTTCTTGTGAATGTCTTCTGAACAGGGAAATGGATCGAATCCTTCGACGTCGCCGGAGGTTGAGGGAAGTGAAACGGTACCGTTTCGTCGGAGATTGATAAATGCTCAAAGAGGGCAAAGAGTTTTTGCTCCGAAGCTATTGGAAGCTCTCCGTCGATCACGGAGAAGTCAAGAAGCTCCGGCAAGTCAACTTAGTCGGAAATGGAGAACCACTGCGGCTCAAAAGGTTTATTCTTTAAAGCTTTACGACGCTCTCCGGCGATCACGACGTAGCACAACAGTCCGAGACACGGCCGACAAAGTCCTCGCGGCTACGGCTCGTGGTACGACTCGGTGGAGCCGGTCGATCTTGGTGAGTCGACTCGGGACGAGTCAACGCCGTCACCGGAAGATAAAACCGGTGCCGGCATTGACGGCGGAGGTCAGGGGAGGGAGGAGGAGGAAGTTATCGGCGTTGGGAAACCGGGTCAGGGTTTTGGGTGGGTTGGTTCCGGGTTGCCGGAGAACGGCGTTGCCGGAGCTTTTGGACGAGACGGTGGATTATATTGCGGCGTTGGAAATGCAAGTCAGAGCCATGACGGCTCTAACGAAGATTCTGTCTGAGTTTCAGCCGTCTGTTAAAACCGGCTCGGCTTTATAGCCGAGTGTTTAAGCCGATGGTGTTTGTAATATTTGTTTTTAATTAATTCTTTTACGATTTTTATCATCGGAATGGTTTATTGTTTTTATGATTTGTTTGCATGAGGGGAAAAATTGTCAGAATCATCACGAGTTGGACGAAATATTGGGTCTTTTTTTTTGTTGTATTTCGAAGTTTTTGTGTCGTTTCATAAGTTTGAATTGTATATATTTCTTGAAACTGAAAATTTCCAAATTTGGTCGTGAAATATTTGGACATTATAAACGTTTCAAATGATGATAGACAAGTAATTATCAGAAATTTTGATTTTAAATCCAACCATTTGTCTCAATTCTAATCTTTCGTAAACTACAACAGGGTTCGAATTGAAGTGTTTCGTTTCATAGTTTGCGTTGTAAATATTTTTTTAAATGAAATTCGAGAAATATTCGACTATTATTGAAAGCTAAATTTTTAAAAAGTTGAAAGAAGTCTCTTTGTTTTATTCCGTGGCGGAAATCTGAATCGATAATTATCCACATTAGATGATAAATACATTTTTTTCGTAAAATCGAGCCTCGACCAGGTAATCTGAATCGATAATTTGAGTTTGAGGGTGGAAAGAATCGAGCCTCGACCAGTTAGTTATCCACATTAGATGATAAATACATTAACTCACATGTTTGTTTTCTTCTTCTAAATGTCTCTAAATTATATGTCCGACTTCTATGTCAAAGTTTAAAACAAATGGCTCATTCACCTGTACACAATTTTATATTTATCTAATAAAAAATCAATATTTATAAGCTATATGCCAAAGAAATGAAAATAAACGAATTATATAAGTATAAATTATATACGAGAAGGCATGTGCATGAAGACCCTACGGTCCGTCGAACAATTTCTCAAAGTGCGTCGCATGTGAGAGACCTCTTTATCTGAATTTAGTTTCTTCTCGAACAGTTTTTTTAAATAATTTCTCTTTTGTAAGAAAATTAAATTCACAACAAATGATAATAAGTTAAGAAAGACTTTCGTATGTCCTACATTCAACCAACTTTGTGAAACAAAATGAGTGTTTATATCATACTTTGTCCTTACATATATGGATTCATATTATCTTTTGTCCTAACTAATTTTGTACAAGATTCTTTCAGTCTTGAAGATGTCTATTTAATTAAGCCCAATGTTTGTTATTGTAAAAAAGAACATGATCTTATCCTTTTTGTGAAATAACCAAATGCATTATCAACCGTTAATGTTACATAATCCATCATTATAGTGGATTGTATGACAAGATCGGTTTAGTGACAAATATTTTTGTTTCAACTTAGAATAATTAAATTATTGTTTTGCAGCACGATATAAGTAATTAAGTATAGTGGGCAACGTGATATGTTTCGCCAAATGCCAAAGAAGAAAGAGATATCTATAGTAATAACCTATGAATGTAAACAACATTAGGGCATTAATTAGTAACAATTATGAAAAACAGCTTCAAAGTTGTCGGAGCTACGTCCAATAACGACGACACGGATGTCGGAACAAGAATTCAACATAGGCAACCAATTATGGTTGTCAAAGTAGTCTAATTTATATATTCGTTACTGTTGTTCAAGATGAAGTCATCCATTACGTTTCAATGTTAATATCCGAAAACACTTTAAATGGCGAATAAAACTCGGTTTTGTACATATTAAAAAATTACTTTTGATACTGATCATGATTTATCATATCAGAAAATTAAAATAGAATATACGATTTCTGATTTGTATTAGCCTTTTAGGGCAACAAAAAAAATTGAAAACTATTGAGAATAATATGCATGCAAGACATGTTAGGAATCAATGTGGTGGTAAATATATGATGGATGTGACTTTTAGAGATAAAATGATTTGTGTTAATCCGGATCATAAATATGATCTCAAATATGAGATGATATTTTGGCTAAAAACCGAGGAATTTCATAGATTTATAAGGAAAAAAAAGACAATAGAAAGAGGAAGAGATTTTGCCATTAAAGAGGTGACACGTTTGAAGAGTAAAGCCTC